TCTGTAACAATGACTTCTTTAGTTTTATCTCCATCCTTAATGAAGGTCTTGACTGGAATTATTTCATCTTTGTATAATCCTTCTTATTAAGCTGTGTAAGCCTTTTATTAGGATTCATAAGCAAATTTATCTTATTACAATCTTGTGACTCCAAATTGGGCTGCAACATTCTCAGATGTTTATCCCATACCCAATAAGCAATCTCTTGCACATGGATGATCAAAGATAGCATCACTGAGTAATTCAGCGTTCATTTGACTTTACATATCATACATAGTCATTTGTTCAACTCCAGCTCCAATACCAATATCCAACATTCCAGATTTAATTTTGGCAGCAATGACAGCACATGCTTCAATTCCTGATGAACAGAATCTATTGATTGCTGTCAAACAAGTTGTATCTGGGAATCCAGACAAGAAGGCAGCCATCTTAGATACAATGGCACCACTTCCAGGTTGATTGACATTACCAACAACGATGTCTTGGATCAATTTTGGATCAACCTTGGTTCTTTCCAAAAGACCTGTGAAGGCTGTGCTAAGAAGGATTTCAGGGGGAGTATCTCTCAATAATCCTCTTTTAGCTTTGGTCAAAGGGGTTCTAACAGCTCCACAAATGACTACGTCGTTGTCACTTCTGGATGGAACAGGAGTACAATTATTGACTTAAGCACTAAGATGTTGGACTCTTTGCATGAATAAGATATTTTATTTAATTAAATTGCAAATAATTGTTTTTGTATTTAGATAAATCTCTATTCCTAAAAATTAGAATTCATGGAATGTTAATTGGAACATACACAAATGGGAAGAAATCCTCAGTGTCTTCTAATTCTTCTTTTGTTCCATATAATCCTACTTGAGAAGGATCAGCAAACAATTTCAACAGTGATTATTGAACCTTCTTCTCTTTTCCTTGATCTGGCTATTAGATTATATAGAATTTATATCTTACTTTAAGTATGCATTAAATATTTGGTTCAGCAGCTCCGAATCTCATAGCAATATCAACAACTAATCTTAGGACCTTCAAATGCATATATGTAATGTATAAGTCACTAAATGCTTTTTCGCATGCTTATTTTAATGTAGTCTATATAATTATAAAGAAATTCAGATACATTCATATGATCTGATTTGGACTTGAGATCCAATCTCAATTTTTCTCTTTCTTTTGATTCTTACGATTTATATTCAAATTCTTTAACAGTAATTCTCAATTTATCTCTTGCCTTTTATATGAATTCCTCGACTGGGCTTGACTTTTACTTCTTTCCTTTATCATCATCACCTTTATCACCTTTATCAGCAACGTCGATTTCGTGATCCTTATCGAAAGATTGCCTAACGATCACCACTCTCCAAATTGTCAAATTATCTTTATCTTCAATTTAGAATTATCTATATATTTATTGTCTAATAAATACCTTGCTGATTATGGCACAACATTTTCACATAAAAATTCATAACAAGCTAACCATTCTTAAATCTAGGTCTTTGGTACAATAGCCACCAAAGTCGTTAGATAATCGCTATAAATGAAATCTCTTGGTTTGACAATTGGTTCCTTTAAGACATCGACCAAGTCCCTCACCATTAAATTTCCTTCCTTCTTTGCCACTTATTAACTCTGATTCTTCAATTCTTAATAACTTGTTGATTTTTGTCTCAAATCTGTCTCCACATGGGTTGCTCTCTAATCAGCATAAATAAATTCTTTACGGATGAAATCGCCTTGACTAATTCGCTTAATGCTGATGCTCTTGGGAAGGTTTGGTCATTCCATTTGAATTAGAATAAGAAATTTTCAATGCTCTCTAAGAATAATATTTCTTATCATACATGGGTCCTTCTTTCCAACTCAATTGTGAAATCATAACTAACCTTCTCTGTCACATCCAAATATTATCTCTCTATCTTCTTCAACAAACTCTCCACAACCGATTCTTATTTCAATAAACTATCATTGATGAACATTAAGTGATCCAAATTCCCCAACTTGAATTTTCCTATCTCAGTCTGCAAAATTTTTCCTTTAGCTTATCTCGATATTCCAGATGTAAGAACGTGTTTCTCCATCTCTAACCAAGCCGTATTTTCATTAGACTTATGAGGTGCACCAATTAGATAGTATACCATTTGTTATATTAAGATATTTTAATTTAATCTGCAAATACTTATTACTTCTCTAAAGGAACATCACTTTATCATCATACATCCTTCCAACAACATAATATTTATAATTGTCAATTTTATATAATAACAGCATCACTCTGATTGTTTAAAAAAGGATATATAATATGTAATAACATAAATAAAAATTCAGAATTCTGTTTATTTATTATATTCTTATAACTTAAATAATAAACTAATCAAATTCTTATGATGAATTAACATATTTTCTATTTATTATTCAAA